AAAGCACACAAGGGCTATCTGCCTAAAAGGGAGGGATGCCTTCGGGGAGAACTTTCTAAGAAAACTGGCTCGTATACACGTTACACATGGGGAAAACCACGAAAACGCCCATGCAGCCAGCCCGTTCGCGGGATTCGAACCTCGGACCGAACTACCAGTGTTCAGCGTCTTTACCGCTCGGCCACTGGTGGGCCCTGTCATTTAGGGACACATATATGATAATTATGTGGAGTTTCCACATCATTATACTATGCTAACAATTTTGATAAGCTGTGTATCTTATGATAATCATTAATCTTGATTAAATAAAATATTGCAATTTTACTTTTTACACGTGCAAATGACTAAACCTCTATTTCAGTGGTCGCCAAACTTATGAAGCCTCTGAGCTACTGTATAGTTTATAAATCCTACTGTAAGCTACCAACCAAAAGAACTACCAGTTAAAAAAAAAATCTTAGATTTGTTTATTGCCTATTATTTCTACTAAATATGAAATTAATTTTAATTAATATGTATATAACAAAAAGGAACTGAAATTGAATCGTACATAAGAAAGAAATTTAAATGTAGTTAGTAATAAAGGACAAATGTAATGACAGATTTTTTTATCAGCCTTATTAACTTTAATAAGAAGCATAGAACTCATTTTTGTCATCAACAAGTTTTTTTTAGTGTTGGGAGAGAGTAGGTAGTGGCTGCCATTCGAATACAGTTGTGCAAATGTTTATTGGTGAGTCTGTATCTGTGCTTATTTTTAATAAATTTCATACTGGAAAAAGAAATTTCACACAGCTATGTAGAGCTGAATATTGCCTTCACGTTTAGACAAACCTGGACCAAAATGAGGTATTTTTCTTTAGGAAAAAGATAATCATTAATCTTATAATAATTCAAATATTTTCTGAGCTTGAAGAAAGTAATTTTACACATAAATCGTCTTGAAAATCAATAAGTATCAATTCCACTGCCTCAGTAAGTATCAATTCCACTGACTTCTTGAAAATTAAAATGTTCCTTAACACAAGTAGAGAACTCTTCAGCATTTATCTCTATCAAAGGCAATTTGACAAACAATTGAAAGCTTGGAAGCGTTTGTTGAATTCCTTACTTTTTATGAACTGATATATTTGTATAGCACCATAAATGCACACTTTTGTCTTTTACCAGAGTAAAAAAGTAATCAGTTTCCCATTCTGAATGAAAGTGATAAGTCCTTTGCTTTTTGCTTGAACATGCCATCGTTAGAACAGACCTAGCTTGGTACCAATGTGTATCAAACTATCCAAGTTAACAAATATACACAACCTCACGCTTATACAGTCAACCATGAGGCTGAGAATGGCAGTTGTTGTCATCAGTGTCAGCTCAATAGAGGAATCAAGGTTAGCCAACCGGAGCATTAACATGATCTACCGAAAATGTCCCTGCAAGCTATTAGTAGCTCGCTATCGATGGTTTGGTGATCACTGCTCTATTTAGAATCAGTGATCAGTTTTAGACTGTGAATTTCAGACTATTAATTGCTCTGACTAAGACTTGCATGACTAGCTATTATATTGTTATCATTGTTTCACTTTATCATTCAGTAGTTTCAAAAACATTTATTTAAATGTGTACAATAAAGTCATGCATTAGCCTTAAAATGCTGCTTATTTTCCTCTTCAATCCGTTGCCTGGGCCTGTACAGCTACTGTTATTTATTTTTTATGCTGCAAGCTGATATTTTCATCTAAATATGTAGTAGTATTAAAATAGCCATGTTTTTAATGCATAAAATGATTTTCTTTCACTCAATATATGTATATTGTTGTGACCATGAAGCAATTGTAAAATTTTTAAACATGTACTTAATTACAACAATATTTTAAGTGATACAAATATTAGGGCATTTTTAAACTATTACATCTGTATAATTACTGTTCTTTGTATAAATTGTTTTATGTGTTTCATTTTTATGTGTTTTCATTTTGAACTTTATTTCATACTTTGCCTTTTTAAAATGTGTGATTATTTCCTTTTCAAAATATATCAATTAAAAAATCATTTTTTCCCTATAATTGTAAATACACTGAATAAAAGAATTATTTATAAAACATCGCTGATTATGTGTGATAATGTTTAACCTTTTAAGTACTTGCTCACTTTAAAGAAATTTTTCATGTAATTTACAATATGATTATAGTGAATGAATACTTTTGGGTTCTTAATAGGTTTATTCAAACTGATTCCCATCTAGATTTTTGTCAAAGTTTTATATTTTTCATTTAATATTATAGAATTATATCTCACCCCCCATTAAAAAAAAAAGACTCCAACTTAGTTAAATCAGTGCTGTGGAAGTAATGTTGGTGCTGCTGTTGTAGAGTCTTTCTGTATATTTTGATTCGCTTTGATACTTAATCTCTTAATTCTTTCTTAATAAAGTAAATAAATGAAATCAGATTTAAGGACCCAAGCAGAAGAGCACCTTACTGAAGAGAAAAGTGTGTTTTAGTTCATTTTCACTTTGTAGAATCTTACAGAAAAAAATAAAAAAAAGCCTGAATTTTTTTTATTATATTACATGTAAAATATTTTAAAAACTTGCTTTGATACATTGTGTGATTTCTCATTGTTTTTGTCCGGCAAATAATTACTTTATTTTAAAGCTTAATATTTTTCTTTATCCATGTATTTATGTAATTATCGGTATTTTAAGCATTTATCTCTCTCTTCAGCTAATTTCCCCCAAAATAAAACTTACTGTGTTTATATCCAAAGTTATCCTTAACTGCATTTAAAAAATGATTTTTTTATGATATATATTTTTTCATGAAATGAGTAAAAAGTAAATCTAAATTTCACTATTAGATTTAGCTATTTCTGAAATACAAGTAATTACATGACATCATCCAGATATATGGCAAAAGCTTTGCATAAAACTCATTTCCCCATGAATTCTGCAATTTAGTTTTTAATATCAGTGTAATAAAAGCATCTTTTTATGGTTCTGTAGTATTATTTAAAAATATTTTTAATATGGAGAGCTTTTAGAAGCAGAACAAATAATTATAGAAGTGGCATGATGACTAAATGCTTCAGTTAGACATGACAATTTTCTGCCAAGCGATAAAAACCACAAATTATAATCATTTAAAATCAATATGGCATAAATTTTGTCACACAAGTACTTGCAAGAGGCAGATGTTCATGAAAAAGTTGAAAATTTATCCAAATATTTAAAAGTAAAACAAGTTCATTGACAGTATTTACAATATCTAATTTGAAACTGCTGGGTATTTTTGGTTTTCTGTTTGGATATTACTTATCAAGCATTCCACCAGACTAGTACATCTTATGCTTACTGCTGGGTATTTTTGGTTTTCTATTTGGATATTAATTAAGCCAAGTACTTTACGGTGATTTCTGAAATATTTCTAAATAAATACCACGTGTCCCATAACTGATACTGTTGGATATCTTGCCTAGTAGAGAATTGTTAAATTGTCAAAATTAGAAGACTTGCTTTATTAGCTGTCTTTTTTATTGATTTAATTTTATACTCATTATTTGTTACAAGAACTTTCATGTTATTTCTTCTGTTTCACTGACTTCAAAACGAAGGTTTTGCCTGAAGTAGTGCTGAGAACATAATGGAATCAGTACTGGATTCTAAAACAGTAGTTTTGTGTTCTACTCAATGATAAATCAAGATTCAGTTTAACATTTATATCTCTAGGTGTTTTCCAGGAATGTAGAATACTCCTGCCGGCATTAAGGAATGTGAGTATCATAGCAGCATAGATGTTATATTACACAAGGAATGTAAATGTGATGTTATGGGAATGTTGTTGTCTGATTTGAAATCATAGAAATATTTGAGGTGGAATGTGATCAACTGGATCCACAGTAATGTTGAGCAATGTGATTAAAGTTTTCTGTTAGCTAATGTTCATTTTAATCTTCTAACCTCTTTATTAAAGTGAAAATCAAATTTCCTGGAAATCCTTATCCTCTTTTCAGTCTGTCTGCAACACAAGCCTAGTTAATTCTAGCTTATTTGTAAAACTTAGCAAAAGTTATCATGATTTTATAATGAATTGTGCTATCCCTTTATATAGCATGAAGCTGTGCATGCTAACTTTTCTTTGTAAATTTTAGTCAAAATCTCTATTGGATTTAGAAGAAATTTTGGCGAAAAAAGTCTGTTATTTCAGCTTAATGGTTATTTTACTTATATAAATAAATTTTTAAATAGAGTGATAACTTTCCACACTAATAATGAAGCTATTAATTTCCTAGTTTAAAAGTTGATAATTTAAATTTTAACAACAAGTTTGCAATTTTGTAAACAGTTTGATTGTTTCTGTTTTGTTTCCAGATGTGTCTTTTGTAAGTAAAGAAACTTGCAATTATGCCTAGATTCTGAAAGCATTTTATTGCAAAGTTTTTTGTATTAGCTTATGAGTTTTTTTCCCTCACTTTTCCATGTAAAATAGATTTTATTGCACTGACAGTTTAAATTTAAAAAAAAAAAAAAAAAAAACTAGATTTTAGAAAACTAGAGAAATTTTTTTAATAAAATTGTGTCCAGTTTAAAATATCAGTTTGTAAGTAGTCATGTAATGAGTAAAAATGGAGTTTTTTTAGGAGGTTTTCTCAGATTAACTGCTTTTCTGAATTTATTTTGAAAATTTAATATTTAATAATTTAAATGGTTATTTTTTCCTATATATTTCGTATTTGTTAACAAACACATTGTATGAAAGTCATCTTCATAACAGCATAATGTGTTATGGTTTTGTCATTACTGTTTTGAAATAATTTCTTATTTTACTTTTTAAATTACCTGTTTCTGTTTTATATATATGCATTTAATGTTGTTTTAAGTATTAACATGCATGCCATTAGGAATTTATTACATTAAAGTCAATTTTGCATTTAATTTGTATTGTACATAACTTGTGATTCTGTTTCTTATGTTTATTTTTAATGAATATGTTTAACTGTTATTCTAGTGAAGTAAGTAATGGTATGACTTTGGGTCCTTTGACACAACGTTTAATTTCTTGCTTTTTTGAGGAAGACCATGGAAATCCAGAAACAGATGTAACAACAAGTATAAAAGGTATAAAAACGAATTCTGCTGTTTTGATGAAGAAGTTTTATAAAAGTAATTTTACATTTTCTCATAAGAGGCATAAGAAACTTATTTCCCAACTATATAAAGAAAATGCTTAAAATTTAGGTAAATTTTTCAGTATACATTTTTCAGGTATACTTAAGTCTGTTTGATATATTTGCAATCTGGTAGCCTTTAACTACTGAATTACTTCATTTTATTGGCACTTATTTAAGATTAAAAAAAAAGAAATAAACATGTAATTCACGAGTGAAAAAAAAAAAAAAAAAATTGGCATGTCATTTTGTGTCAAAATACCCATGTTAAACCAATGCTATATGTAAATCTAATATATATTCTAAGTTGCACTTTCGAGACATGAAAAACGCTATTTGAATTTTGTCAACTGCCCCAGTAGAACAGGAGATATAAAACTGCCCCTCCCCCCTTTTTTTTTTCACAGTGTACTTTAAGTTTAATACATGTATCAAATTTATAAATTTACATAATTTAAATAAGTATCTTAATTTGTGAACTTCAGTTTTAAATGGTCTAGCTTTATCAGCGTAAATAACTAATTAATATAACTTAGAGATCCGGACATCCAATATCCGGAATGATTTATAATCCGGATCTCAAAGCCACCAACAATCTTTCTTTCTTTTTTTTTTTTTTTTTTTTTTTTTTTTTTTTTTTTTTTTTTTTTTTTTTTTTTTTTTTTTTAGGAAATTTTTTAAAGGCATTATGCAGGCACATTTGATTTTTTCCCTTCATAATAAAACATGTGGAGAGTCTTGAATTTTAATTTCACTTCGGCACTGAATAAAATACCTTGTTATTGAAGAAATCATTTTAGCATAAATTTGTGTGATCAATAATTTGGCCTGCTTGGTGCTTGGTTAAATGCAATAAATGTTGGCAAGGAAAAATTTAACAAAATTTTTTTCCCATATGCTAAAATAGATTTTGTTAATGATACTCATAGGCCAAAATGATGACATTTAGTGCTATTTGAAATAAGAATAACTGATTTTTTATTCGCATAAACCCAGAATTGGTGCCAAAGCTTGTATAACTGCGCCGGAGAGCAGAATTTAGGGAAGATGAAATTTATGGAATTTAGATAAGCACCGAGTAACAAAATTAACAGATGATAAAATTTTTAGAGTTTAGGGAAAGCCCTAGGACCTAAAATTGAGGGGCGGCAAAAATTTAGAACTTAAACTTGGTAGCAGAATTAAGGACTCACACAGACTGCATCAGATGCCAAAATATCTAGTGCCGGCACTCAGTAAGCTTAAGTATATGAGGGAATTTATTTATTCAGAACTCAGATAATCCTTAAGCATGTGCAAAAAATAGACATTGGTATAATAATTAACTAAAATAATACAATTTAGGCTTAATTGTCTCGTGCACAATAGAAGCAAGACAAAATTTAGCGGAACAACTTGTCTCTCATTGACATTCTCGTGAAACAAAGCCAATAATGTATAGCAGATGCTGTTAAGCTAGGCTAAAATTATACTTTACCGATTCCAAGAACTTTCAGTTAATATAGCTGTTTGCGCTGCTGCTTAACTTTCTGATTTGATCCAGCTTATTATTTTTTGCAGGCTGTTATTATTACAGCAATTTTATGAAAATTAAAATTTTGAACTTTCGCTTATGTCGAAGAGTTTCTAATTCTGGAGCTATTCTAACAGGATCTACAAAGCGAAAGCATATTTTAGTGCGCATCAAGCAAAAAGTGGAATTTTACAAAAAATGAATAAAGCACAATAAGTATGGCCTCGGGCTTTATCCATTTTTTTATCCCTCTCAAAATTACGCAAGGAGTATGGCATTGGAAAGTCAATGTTGACGAGGAAATAATATGACATAAGGAAATGTACATGATATAAGAAAACAGAAAAAGGAATTTTTTGTGGATTCCGATATCCCACTCGCAATGAATAATTGAAATATTATTCATTATGCTAGAGTGACGATCATGACAAAGTGATGACTGCATGGGTCAGACAGCGTCGCCGCGAGGGCGTGCCATTGACGGGTCCAGTGCTAATGGCTCAAGCCAAAGTGTTTCATTAAGAAATGAACTTAAAAACTAAGTACACATATTCGACAGGTTGGTTTACCAAATTTAAAAATTGCCATGGTATAGTTCGGCCGCCTCATCAGCGACTATGAGTGTAAACAAGCATGCACCATTCAGACCGAATAATTCTCAAAATAGGGTGGAAGGATGGGGGCTTTCTCTCCGCCACCACCGCCAAATAAATTCTCTCTTTCCGGAGAAGACTTTTGCTTTTCACATCGCAGCAAGTAATAATTCCCCTTCTGAGCAAATCTATGTGTTTTGGTAGAATGCCAGCCAGGGTTGCATTTGCGACGGTCGAACTATATAAGGCAATTAAAAATTTCAAGTGAAAAAGCTTCAGGTGATACTGAAGGTGCAGAACTATTTGCAGATGAATTCATTGAACTGATTAATAATAAAAAGTTATCTCCAGGACAAATTTACAACGCTAATGAAACTGGTCTTTTCTGACAATATGATACCGCGAAATACCTTGGCAACCTCTGCAGAAAAGGCTGCAACTAATGTCAAAGATTCCAGAGCGAGACTAACAATTTTAGCATACACAAATGCTGCAGGAATGCACAAATGCAGGGTTGGATTTATCATAAGCTACACAAGCCACCACTTTCTTGCTTAGGGTCCCCACTTTCTTCTTTTAGCTTAGAATTCCCACTTTCTTGGCGGCCCCCCAAAAATTAAAATATAGTATAAATAGTATTAGAATGTATTTTAACAGACTTATAAAGGGCCCTATATCTCAAATAACTTAGGCCTTATTAGCTGTGCACAAGTGTGAACTTTTCATAATTGGGAAAACATGCACAAATTCGAGCATTTAAAGAAGTAAAGATTTTCCCTGTTGTGTACATCATGCAAATAAAAGAACATGGATGACAAAAGCATTAATGAATGATTGGTTTGAAGATCATTTCATACTCAAGTCTCAGCAACATTTAAATTCGGTTGGTTTACCTGATGATGCAAAAAATTGTCTTGATTGTAGACCTGTTAGATTCATAGTTCACTTCAAGTTTTAGTGAGAGATAATGTTTCCATATTATTCTTTCCTCAAAATTGTCTGTCCATCATTCAGCCTATGGATATTAGAATAGTGCAGGCCCTGAAATGCAAATATGAAGTAATATTTTTAAAATACATGTGAAATTTCTTGAATAATGGCAAGAATATTCAAGAATTTTTGAAATATTTTAGCATAAAATCTGCTGTGTTGAGCATTGCAAGATCATGGATGGATGTGTTTCTAGATGCTTTCAAAAATGTTTGGCATAATATATGGCCAGGCACCATATTTCATGGTAAGGATCATGAATATGATAGCCGTGTATTTGAAGGTTTTTGGATATTGCAAACCAAAGATAACATTTTCCAATTAATGGATTTTGTAAAGAAATGTAGAGAAGCAGTAATAAATGAAGATGATATATCAGAAGTTTTTCATTGCGATGACACTGCCCCAATCATTAATCAATTAGCGGATGGCGAAATCTGTAATATGGTTCAAGATCCAGAAAATACTGCTACCAATAGTGAAGAAAGTGACAGAGAAGTTTTTTAAAATGCAAAAAAATTCGATTGAGAAGTTAGTCGGAATTCTTGAGACACAGCAGTTACAGGGCTTGAACAATTGAATTTTATGACTGAACAAGAAATTATGAATTATGTCTGTCTACAGAATTAAAGAGAAAGTATTAGCATAAAAAACGAAGCAACTTAAACAGCTTAATAATGTTAAGGAATAAATGTTAAGGTTTTTTTTTTTTTTTTTTTTTTTTTTTTTTTTTTTTTGTAAATTTTGATACCCTTTAAATCTTAAATGCTTCATTATTTCATATTTTTAATTTTATAATTTTTGCATGCCATCTGACAAGATTTAAACTTTTGATCTAATATCCGGGAAAAAACCAAATCTGGAATTGTCCAAGTCCCGACAAGTCTTGATCTTGGACTTTGTACTGTATATATTGTGCTAATGTTGAACACCAGATGGTGTACAGATTGCTCATCGTATAATTTAATTTTTTGATTTTCGTTTGGCATTTGAATGAGTTAGACTCTACCATATGTTTTACAAATCTGCAATCGCATAGCACAGATTTTCTCATATAGCTCTTAAAATACAAAATTTTCCTTTTATATGCACTAAGTTTCATTTACACCATTATTATGTTCCTTTCATGGCAATTAATAACTTTTAAATAAGGAAAATAATTATTAAGTACTATTAGAGGTTGAATCTAATCTTCTACTAATGATGATTTTACTAATTTACTTCCTACCCATAAATAACTCTTTTGATTAGCTGTTGGATTTACCCCAAACACTTTTGAATGTTCTTTTTTACTTTTAATGTAATTCAATTCTGGGGATGGGGGATTAATGCAGTAAACTCCATCGTATACATCTTTATGTAATTGTGAAAAGCAAAATTTAAACAATGTAGTAAAACAAAAAATCATTTACTGACAGCAAATATATCAACTGATGTTTTAATAAATTTGAAGACTTAAGTCTTGCAAAATCAATAATAGTCATTTTGATTCTTTAATTATGGTAAATGTAGAATGTGGTAATAACGTATTTAATACTATTGTTGATGCTGCCACACAGATCAGTATTATAAAGAGTATTGTTGTACCAGAGTATTATAAAAGACCATGCCGAAACGTAACATTAAAATCTGCTTAATGCACCTTTATTAAATGTAAATTTAGTGATGAGTTCACAAGTATGTGTATGCCCCTGTTATAGTTATGTCTGCTATAGTTGATATTCTAGTACATGGTTTAATTATTAAGTTTTAGTGCTTACAATGAATTGATTTTATTTAAAGGTAATTTTGAAAGTTATGTTGATATTCTGAACGTTGATGAAATACAGCACTCTTATGAAGATATTTCTGTTA